TTAGGGCAAGAATGTGTAAAGTATCATTTTGTGGACAAAAAGAGTCTTAAAGTGTTTGAATAATTAAGGGTTCATTTGGTTCATTATTCTGATACTTTTATAATAGTATTTGAAAAAAGTAAATTGGATGGATATTACGATGTAAGATTTGAAAATTAACAAAAATACCCCCTATGTTTGTTATTTATTAAACACCCTATAGTAAAATATTAAAATTTAACAAAAACACCTCCAACCACCCATTAAATACGGACAGCCGGCCACCACCGCCGGAGTTGCGTATCAGGTATGACGGCTGGATCTTGCGATCGTGCGCCGATGTGGATCTGGCCATTAACGGCCAGTATGACTGCTTTGGTCGTCAACGACGGCCAAAGATAGGGCCGTCGTTGATGATTGTCTACGACCAAAGATTGGCCTTTTCCGGCCAGATCTATCGTGGATATGGCGGAAAAGGTAGATCGACGCACTATTGACCAGATTTAGCCGGGGAATGCGTCATTATACCATATTCCGGCCAGCTTCGACAATGGTGGCCAGAATCTGGTATAATGTGGGTTGCTGGGGTGTTTTTGTAATTTAAAAAAAAAATTAGGAGGGTTTAGTTAAATTAACAAATTTAGGGGGGTTTAAAAAAAATTGAATAATATTTTCAGAATAAGCCAATTTTACTGTTTAACTTTATTGGGAAAACAAGAATATATTGGAAGAGGGTATCACACGGAGCCTAAGGATCCGTTTGTTTAACTTTTAGAATAGTATTATATTCTGAATAGGATTAATCAAATAGGATAGCATTCTGAGAATGTGTTTGGTACATTTTCGAAAATATTTAGATTATTTTTTAAAATATTTAGGATTTAATCAAATAAGATATTTGTTAATTTAGCTGAAAAACCCCCTCCCCCCCACCCCCCCCCAACCAAATAAAAGTTAATAAATTAATAAAAACACCTTCATCTACCCAATAATTGCCGACAATGGCTATCACTGTCGAACGGTGGCCAAAAGTCGTTGGAATGGCGACGACTGGCCAGATCCAGTCAGTCATGCGCTATTCCGACTACTTTCGTCCACACGGTGGCGGTCGGCTGTGGCAATTAGTTGGGTGAGTGGGGGTGTGTTGTTAATTTATAAAACTTTATTGAGAAATGTAATTGTTAGGGCTCTGTTTGATACACTTTTCCAAATATTATTCTGCGTTTTCCTAATAAAGTTAAACAGTAAAATTGGCCTTATTCTCAAAATATTATTCTAATTATTCAATTTCTTTTAAACCCCCTAAATTTGTTAATTTAACTAAACACCCCCAATTTTTTTTAAAAAAAATTGCAAAAAACACCCAGCAACCAAATTACCAGATTCAAGCCATCACTACCGAAGCTGGCCGGAATCTGGTATAATGGCGCACTACGGCCGAATCAAGCCAATAGTGCGTCGATCTAGCCTTTTCAGAGCCAGATCCACTGGGATCTAGCCAAAAAAGGCCAGATCTTTGGCGTAGGCAGTGGTCAACGACAGGTCGTATCTTTGGCTGGCGTTGATGACCAAATGCCGTCGATACGGCGATTTCGGCCCACTTTAAGCAGTGGTGGCCGGCTTTGTCCTTATAATGGTGGGTTAGGAGTGTTTTGTTAACTTTTAAATTTATTATGGGGGTGTTGTAGAAATAAACAAACATATGAGGTATTTTGTTAATTTCCAAATTCTAATCGTAATACCCATCCAATTTAACTTTTTTCAAAATATATTCTAAAAAGTATCAAAATAATGAATCAAACGGACCCTAAATGTTTTGAGTTGAATGAATATGATTGAATTTTGAATTAAATAAGTCAATATAAAAAAATATGTATTTTAATGGATTGGATAAGATAATAGGATAGGATACAGTTGAAAAGTTAAAAAAAAGCGGGGGGGGCGGGGGCGGGGGGGTGGTTTGGGGTGTATATCAGAAAAGGGTAGCATGAACTCATACTTCAAATATTCGGAATGTCACCGTGGAGTTGTAGGCCAACTCCTGAGGGGAAAAGTGTCCTCTTGTGCTGTCCATTTCAATAATGTTATAGTATTCAAGTTCCTCATTCTGAAGTGTCATATTTGAAGTTTAATCTGAATTCTTGAAGCTAGTGCTTCTCTTGAGTTTCAATTGCTACTGGGTGTTATATATCTGTGTTCCATTTTCCCTGCTCCTTGAGTAGCAATGGATGCAAATAATTTGGATACCCTGCTGATTTTTAGGCATATTTCATCAACTTCAAGGGTGTCTTATGCAGTAGTGTGCTTAATAATGAACCAAACGGACCCTAAATGTTTTGAGTTGAATAGAATATGATTGAATTTTGAATTAAATAAGTCAATATTAAAACAAATATGTATTTCACTGGATGGAAGATAATAGGATACAGTTTGAAAAGTTAAACAAAAGGGGGGTGGGGTGGGGTGTATATCAGAAAAGGGTAGCATGAACCCTACTTCAAATGTTCGGAATGTCACCTGTAGAGTTGTAGGCCAACTCCTGAGGAGAAAAGTGCTCCTCGTGTGCCTGTCCATTTCAATAATGTTAATAGTATTCAAGTTCCTCATTTTGAAGTTCATATTTGAAGTTTAATCTGAATCTTGAAGCTAGTGCTCTCTTGAGTTTCAAATTGCTACTTGGGTGTTATATATCTGTTTCCATTTTCCCTGCTTCTTGAGTAGCAATGGATGCAAATAATTTGGATACCCTGCTGATTTTAGCATATTTCATCAACTTCAAGGTGTCTTATGCAGTAGTTGCTTAATTTGCAAATACTTTATATTCGCCTTTTCTCCATTTCCATCTCTATTTATGGTTGTCAAATATTGTTTGATTGGCGAATGTTAAACCAAATTTCCTTTGATTAATATGTATTTATCAGAAATTTAAAAAATATGTGTATGTTACTGAATTTATCTTTGTGCAGGTCATTAGCATTGAGCTTGAGGTAGATCGTAATGTTTCACTTAACTTGCTTCTGACTTGATCTGAGTACTAATCCCACGAAATTTGAAATATTTTCAGGGCACTGGAGGAAAAAAGTATATATGGTCGTACGTTTAAAGATGAGAATTTCAAATGTAAGCTGATCCTTCTCACATAACTTTGTGGCTGTTAAAACATACTTTCAATAGAGCCCATAGGAATCTTTCTTCATGAGGAATTAAAAAGATGATGATGAGGACCATCTATTAAAGTCATATCTTTTTCATTCAATTTAAAAATTTTGTCTTCTAGTAGTGATTTAATTTAAACAGCGATTATGGTTTGTGTGGGAATTATTGACTGGCACTTAGGTCACCTGATATGGTCATTTTTTTCTTTATATCTATATAATCTGCACGTTTTCATTCTGAAGTGTATAATGTATTGCAGTGACACATACTGGACCAGGAATAGTTAGCATGGCAAATGCAGGCCCCAACACTAATGGAAGTCAATTTTTCATTTGCACTGTGAAGGTCATGATTTATTTTCCAGTAAAAGGAAAAATTAAAGTTAAAACTCTGCTGGTAATTTGTCAGTTAACAATCCATAAAATATATTCCAGAATACCTTTGAGAGGTTAGAGAAAGTGGCTGTGCTATCTTTAAACTGCATTTTGGAATAACTTTTTTATCCAAGAAGAATAGTGTTTGAATCCACTTGCCAAGTTATATAGCTTGCTTGATAAAGTTTACGATGTACCTGCCTAATGAGAGTAGGATTAGTAAATATGTTTCTAACCAACTGTACCATTCATTTTCTGGAGAAACAGATTTTCCTAGATGGTAGTTCAGTGCTAATGTGAAAAGATATTCTTTTGATCTTTCCAGGTCATCCTCCTTCCTGTGTTGGCCAAAATTAATATCTATTTGCTCTTCATTTTTTCTAAAAATGCTGGTTTGACTGCTGTTATGAAAATGGTGTAGTTACATATTCTTGTGTTTAAATTAGGAAAATCTGGGGGACTTTCTGCTAAAGAAATGCAAAGAGATATCACTAAAAGAATAGTTGTTGATTATTATGATATCAATTCCATGTGTACTTGTTTGTATATTTATAAAGCAAATTTTGATGCTCATGGATTTTGGATTTCCGTCCAATTAAGTAAAATTTTTTGTACTTTCTTGATTTTGTTAATCATTGTGAAGTTGATACTTCAAAATGATATATGTTTCATGAATAATGATAATGAAAGCACCCTTATGACAGAGACGTCTTAAGCTGGGTGGTTTGTGAAAGTTTCCACTGTCCTTGGATGACTTTAGCAGTAACAGTTTTGTTATGTAATGGATACATGAGATACTTGCTGTTTGACTAGATATATTGATATGTTTTTCATATTTTGGCACGTGACAGACACCATGGCTAGATCAGAGGCATGTTGTTTTTGGGCAAGTTTTGGAAGGCATGGATATTGTTAAGCTTATTGAGTCGCAAGAGACTGTAGAGGTGACCGTCGAGTAAGAAAGTGGTCATTAGCGACTGTGGTGAGCTTCCGATGTCTGAAGTATGATGAGATCAATTCCAGTTTCTTTTGCTGCAGCTTTTAATTATTGGACTAGTCTATCCAGTTTAATGGCCTCTATTGAATGAACTGGAGCCATGTTTGAAAGTTCATTATGGTCCCTTGTATTCAGTAGATAAGCTTAAGTTACCGGGAGTTAAAAGTGATACTGGTAAGTTTTACCAGCCAAATTGTTGAGGTGTATCAGTGGATATAATGGAGTTTCGTTTACTCAGGTGAATCAGATTTTAATGTTTGATGTGAGTTTGAAAACAAAATTCCTGCACTTCATCAATTCATGATGGCATTATATGATTAGATTGGAATGATATCTTCTTCTGAATCTTGATGATGAAGCTTCTGCAATTGATGCTGTCAATCAAAATTCCAATTCATAGCTTTAAATAAAAATTCCTGAATTCTTAACATGGTGTAATGATCTATCATCATATTTAAATGATTTCATAGTTATGGCTTCGGAGATCAAGGTGGTCAATGTAATTTTAATTGCATAAATTGCTGATTAAGATACAGTAGCTCCATATTAGAATGTAGCAATCAGTCAAGTCAGATAAAAAATTTCACCAATTTTTTTTTTTTCCCTCTTATTTTGATTTAATGGAGTTAGGGAAGAATTGTAATACCTTCATACACATGAAACCCACCGGCACTCCAAGTTCTCCTGCCCGAGAAAACATTGCCTTGCCAACTTCGTTGGTCATCTGCACAAATTTATAAGAAAGAAAGACATAATCATCATCATTACTCTTTCATCAACATACTGCACCTGAAATGAAGATGTCAAGAGGAATTAAATACTTCATTTGATGGGAATCCCACAAGTATTTAAAAACTAAATTAATTGTCATAAAATTGTTTCTTCAATTAGTTAACTAACTGCAAGAATAGTCTTTAAGCCAGAAATAAAGATTACCAACTATTGATTTAATATAAGTGGAATGTCTAGACACAAATTTTTTCTGTCCAAGATGGTGAACTAGTTGATGAAATTAAATCGTTACAAATGTGCAAAGTTTGATAAAACATAACATAATGAAAAGAACTGAGGACAAAAAAACAGGCTATGACAACTGGCAGTGACAAATTTTACACTGAAATTAGTACCTGTTGGCCAGATGGCCATAGATATGGATTAAAACGAACAGCACGGAAACCATCCTAGCAAGGAAAGAGAATGAATCAGAATGATTATCTGAGAGAATAATGCAATTATGAGATAATGAATAGACAATCCAAAGACCTTCACAAGCTGTTCAAGCTGCTTAATCCCACTGCCATCTTCTGCAGGATTTGCTAGGCAACAACCAACAAATTTGGTTGGGTACTTCTTCAGGACACTGTCCAATTATAGAATTGCTTTAGGCAATACCATATCTATAAAGTAAAAACTATATCAACTATACAAATCTTTGAGGTTAAATAACTATAATGAATCAACGTGTGACCAGCAATTCACTATCTGAATAGCATGATCGAAAAAGCGATGTCTAAGATGAAATATAGCTTTAAAGTAAAGAAACAACAGCCTCCCCCAACCATGGACCTTTGTCCTTTGTCTTACTTAGAAATCCAACTCTACAGGAAGTCAAAGGATCTTCAGATTGAGCACAACTCATTGGGTGCAAGGTCTTATACGAGTTGTATTAAGTTCACAATTTTCATGCGGCTTCGCAGGTTTCTGAAATCTTGATCTCTAATGCATATGGAGAAGAAAAAATTCTAAACTTATCATTTTGCAATAATGTAATCTTAACAGACCTTGTCACCAAAGAATGATCAAACTTATGATTAATGGGCTGCACAATGAGTGCCCCATCCACACTCGCTTCTGCCATGTTCTACAGGGAAAAAAAAAAAAAGAATATCAGAAAAGAATACTATCACATATTCAATGAATCTATATAAAAAGAATTTACTCATCCTTCAAAATCAATATCATGCCTGTAAATTTCTAAAAAAATAGTGGTAAAGGGCAAGAAGAGAACATGAATTAATCAAGATCTCCAAATGTATTGAAAACCACCATATAATCATATTTTCACTCAATATTTACAAATTAAACACTTATAGTACCCAATTCCAACTACACCAGTAATTAAAAATCATACAATTTTAATTCAATGCAAACCCATGTAAGATCAGATAGCAAATAACATAAAGTACACTAACTATGCTAACAATAAGAGGCGTACCTGGAGCAAAAAATCAACATTTCCAGGCAAAGTGGGTTCTTGGCCAGGAAAGTAAGGGTATTTATCTGCAGCCTTTGCAAAGTAGTAAAAAAAAAAAAAAATTTAAGCATTTTGAATGCCCTTTGTTCATTAAAATAGATAGATGATGCAATTTAGTACTTACCTCTTCAGGTGAAGCCCATACGTGTAGATGTGAATCGATGGTTTTGATGCTTGAAAAAGCTTTAGTCTGGGATTCACTGGAGCTCATTTTAGCAGCAGAGATTGTGAATGGTGATTTTTTATGATTGGAGTGTGAATAATGAGGAAAGGCTGAAGCTGTAAGCAGTGGCTTTAATAACTTCGTCACCACTGCGATGCCCATCACAGAAAAAATGATAATTGATTTATGACTAGTTAGAGTTAGGGCCTTTTATGTAAATCTCTGAATTTTTATCTTTCTTTTTATTATATTATTAAAAGAAGAAAATTCTTTTCATTAGTGAGAGATTCTTCTTAATATATTATTCATTTTTCATTAATAAAATCTTTAATACTAATATCTATTTCTGAATTGAGCGAAATGTCATTTACATCCTCACCAATGGAAATATTCCAAAACGCCTGGTGGATTGATACCATTAGAGGATACATATGTCATTTTGTGCCCACTCGTCTCTCGAATTCCACGTTTCTACAAAACACCACCGAACCCAACAACGCCATACTCTTATCAGTTCATCTCATCAAGACAAGAGACTGCTCCATCAATGGCGGCTACTTTTACAACCCAAGTACCATCTCTTTCATCCACCCCTCGTTCTGTATTTTTATTTCTTTTCACGTGGCAAAGTTAATCTGATTTTTTTCTCTTTGTTTTTCGCAGATAAATGTGGGCTCGGTATCGGGTCCACAAGCAAGCCTTTGTCAGACAAAAGTGTTGGGTGCTACGTTTAATGCAATCAAAATTCCCAAAAGGTTTGCTTTGACGTCCAACGCTTCTTCGGGCTCCTGTTTCTTATCCGGTTCGCTTCGCCCGGTTCCTCTAACTTCTTCCAACAAGAAACCCGGTTATCGTAGCTTGGTCCGTGCTAGTGCTGAGGTTAGGGTTTTGTTGTTTCTTATATTTTATTACATTTTCTCAATTAGCAAAATGTTCCCATGTTGAGAATTTGGAGTTTTGATATGGGTCTTTTATGTAATTTTATGAAATGGTAAAAGCCCTGATATTGAAGTCCATGATTTGGGGATTAGGGTTTACATGATAAGCAAAAGAAATTAGTATTGTGATAAGAAAACTGAAGTTTTTTATATGTTTTTGAGTTGGTTTCAGGAAGCCAGTTTACAATCAAAAGTTACCAACAAAGTGTTCTTTGACATAAGCATTGGGAATCCAGTAGGGAAGCTTGCTGGAAGAATTGTGATTGGATTGTATGGTGATGATGTGCCACAAACGGCTGAGAACTTCCGTGCTCTATGCACTGGTAGTTTTCTATGATTCTTATTTTAATGTTCAGTCCAGATTTTTCTTGTTTCTTTTTTCTTTTCCTTTTTATTTTTTTTTACCAGTTGGTCTGGTTTTTGTATTTATAATTTGATTTTAATTGTGTATCTGAGCAGGAGAGAAAGGCTTTGGCTACAAAGGTTCCACATTTCATCGTGTCATCAAAGATTTCATGATCCAAGGAGGCGACTTTGACAAAGGAAATGTGGGTTATCTCTTGCAGTTCTAGATTACATATTTAATTATTAAATTCTTGAAATGAAAAGCCGTATGCTTCTCCAAGTAGGTCTTAGTAGAGTGGCTTTTCGTCACACTAAGAAGGCATTGATGCCTTTTATCTTTTATGAGTTCTAAAATATCTGAAATAAAAGTAGGCATTTATATAGGTGTCAGCTTGAATAGGTCTCATATCTAAGATAATCAAGTTTCTAAGCTCATTATCCTTTTTGTGTTACCAATTCAATTCCCTTTAATACATGAAAATTAGAAATAAAGATAGGTCTATGCCCTGTTCATCTTTGGAGCATTTAGTGACCAGTGTGGTTACCTGTGAGCAATTAATATTATTGATCCCAAGAGCTATTTTTGACTTTTGGGTATTTTTTTTCTTATTGATGAAAATCGGTTTTCCTGGAATGCAAATATTTTGGGAAGATATTTGGTCTAAGGCTTTTTTTTTTTTTTTTTTGGTAAGGGTGGATATTGTTATTTTGATTGGTACAAGTTTCAATGATCTCTTTGACTCTTAAAACTTGTCCTTGTCACAAAATGGCTGCCATTTAGGGTAAACAAGATTAGAGTTAACTCCTGTTGACTTTGAATGGGGTAACAAATGTAGGTCTGTGTGGTTATTTGCATCAAGTGGTTATAATAATAAGTTTGAGAGTAAAAAGGTTGTTTGGGTTTAAGTTTATTTCAACATCGCCTTATAGTTTCTTTGGAAGGTGGAGTTGGCCATTGAAATTATAATGGACCCATTATAGCTACATGAATTTCTTCTCAACTTCATTCCCTCTTTGCTTAGTTGGAATTGTAAGAAGCTTAATGCCACCAGTGATAATGAGAATGACTATCACCTTTTAGGGCAAGAATGTGTAAAGTATCATTTTGTGGACAAAAAGAGTCTTAAAAGTGTTTGAATAATTAAGGGTTCATTTGTTCATTATTCTGATACTTTTTATAATAGTATTTTGAAAAAAGTTAATTGGATGGATATTACGATGTAAGATTTGAAAATTAACAAAAATACCCCCTATGTTTGTTTATTTATTAACACCCCTATAGTAAAATATTAAAATTTAACAAAAACACCTCCACCCACCCATTAAATACGGACAGCCGCCACCACCGCCGGAGTTGCCGTATCAGCGTATGACCGGCTGGATCTTGCCGATCGTGCGCCGATGTGATCTGGCCATTAACGGCCAGATCTGACTGCATTTGGTCGTCAACGACGGCCAAAGATACGGCCGTCGTTGATGATTTCTACGACCAAAGATTGGCCTTTTCCGGCCAGATCTATCGTGGATCTGGCCAAAAGGCTAGATCGACGCACTATTGACCAGATTTAGCCGGTAATGCGTCATTATACCATATTCCGGCCAGCTTTCGACAATGTGGCCAGAATCTGGTATAATGTGGGTTGCTGGGTTTTTTTGTAATTTTAAAAAAAAAATTAGGAGTGTTTAGTTAAATTAACAAATTTAGGGGGGTTAAAAAAAATTGAATAATATTTTCAGAATAAGCCAATTTTACTTTTTACTTTTTGGGAAAACCAAGAATACTATTTGGAAGAGTGTATCACACGGAGCCTAAGGATCCGTTTTTTTTTCTTTTAGAATAGTATTATATTCTGAATAGGATTTATCAAATAGGATAGCATTCTGAGAATGTGTTTGGTACATTTTCTGAAAATATTTGATTATTTTTAAAATATTTAGGATTTAATCAAATAAGATATTTGTTATTAGCTGAACAACCCCCTCCATCCCCCCCCCCAACCAAATAAAAGTTAATAAATTAATAAAAACACCTTCATCTACCCAACTAATTGCCGACAATTGGCTATCACTGTCGAACGGTGGCCAAAAGTCGTTGGAATGGCGACGACTGGCCAGATCCAGTCAGTCATGCGCTATTCCGACTACTTTCGTCCAACGGTGGCGGTCGGCTGCTGGCAATTAGTTGGGTGAGTGGGGGTGTGTTTGTTAATTTATAAACTTTTATTGAGAAATGTAATTGTTAGGGCTCTGTTTGATACACTTTTCCAAATATTATTCTGCGTTTTCCTAATAAAGTTAAACAGTAAAATTGGCTTATTCTCAAAATATTATTCTATATTATTCAATTTCTTTTAAACCCCCCTAAATTTGTTAATTTAACTAAACACCCCCAATTTTTTTTAAAAAAATTGCAAAAACACCCCAGCAACCCACATTTACCAGATTCAAGCCATCACTACCAGAAGCTGGCCGGAATCTGGTATAATGGCGCACTACCGGCCGAATCAAGCCAATAGTGCGTCGATCTAGCCTTTTCTAGCCAGATCCACTGTGGATCTAGCCAAAAAAGGCCAGATCTTTGGCCGTAGGCAGTGGTCAACGACAGTCGTATCTTTGGCTGTCGTTGATGACCAAATGCCGTCGATACGGCGATTTCGGCCACTTTCCAGCAGTGGTGGCCGGCTGTCCTTATTTAATGGGTGGGTTAGGAGTGTTTTTGTTAACTTTTAATATTTTATTATGGGGGTGTTTAGTAAATAAACAAACATATGAGGTATTTTTGTTAATTTCCAAATTCTACATCGTAATACCCATCCAATTTAACTTTTTTCAAAATATTATTCTAAAAAGTATCAAAATAATGAATCAAACGGACCCTAAATGTTTTGAGTTGAATAGAATATGATTGAATTTTGAATTAAATAAGTCAATATTAAAACAAATATGTATTTTACTGGATTGGATAAGATAATAGGATAGGATACAGTTTGAAAAGTTAAAAAAAAGCGGCGGGGGCGGGGGCGGGGGGGTGGTTTGGGGGTGTATATCAGAAAAGGGTAGCATGAACTCCTACTTCAAATGTTCGGAATGTCACCTGTAGAGTTGTAGGCCAACTCCTGAGGAGAAAAGTGCTCCTCTTGTGCCTGTCCATTTCAATAATGTTAATAGTATTCAAGTTCCTCATTTCTGAAGTTCATATTTGAAGTTTAATCTGAATTCTTGAAGCTAGTGCTTCTCTTGAGTTTCAATTGCTACTTGGGTGTTATATATCTGTTTCCATTTTCCCTGCTCCTTGAGTAGCAATGGATGCAAATAATTTGGATACCCTGCTGATTTTTAGGCATATTTCATCAACTTCAAGGGTGTCTTATGCAGTAGTTGCTTAATAATGAACCAAACGGACCCTAAATGTTTTGAGTTGAATAGAATATGATTGAATTTTGAATTAAATAAGTCAATATTAAAACAAATATGTATTTCACTGGATTGGATAAGATAATAGGATACAGTTTGAAAAGTTAAACAAAAGAAGTGGGGTGGGGGTGTTGGGGTGGGGTTGGGGTGTATATCAGAAAAGGGTAGCATGAACTCCTACTTCAAATGTTCGGAATGTCACCTGTAGAGTTGTAGGCCAACTCCTGAGGAGAAAAGTGCTCCTCGTGTGCCTGTCCATTTCAATAATGTTAATAGTATTCAAGTTCCTCATTTCTGAAGTTCATATTTGAAGTTTAATCTGAATTCTTGAAGCTAGTGCTTCTCTTGAGTTTCAATTGCTACTTGGGTGTTATATATCTGTTTCCATTTTCCCTGCTCCTTGAGTAGCAATGGATGCAAATAATTTGGATACCCTGCTGATTTTTAGGCATATTTCATCAACTTCAAGGGTGTCTTATGCAGTAGTTGCTTAATAATGAACCAAACGGACCCTAAATGTTTTGAGTTGAATAGAATATGATTGAATTTTGAATTAAATAAGTCAATATTAAAACAAATATGTATTTCACTGGATTGGATAAGATAATAGGATACAGTTTGAAAAGTTAAACAAAAGAAGTGGGGTGGGGGTGTTGGGGTGGGGTTGGGGTGTATATCAGAAAAGGGTAGCATGAACTCCTACTTCAAATGTTCGGAATGTCACCTGTAGAGTTGTAGGCCAACTCCTGAGGAGAAAAGTGCTCCTCGTGTGCCTGTCCATTTCAATAATGTTAATAGTATTCAAGTTCCTCATTTCTGAAGTTCATATTTGAAGTTTAATCTGAATTCTTGAAGCTAGTGCTTCTCTTGAGTTTCAATTGCTACTTGGGTGTTATATATCTGTTTCCATTTTCCCTGCTTCTTGAGTAGCAATGGATGCAAATAATTTGGATACCCTGCTGATTTTTAAGCATATTTCATCAACTTCAAGGGTGTCTTATGCAGTAGTTGCTTAATTTGCAAATACTTTATATTCGAGCCTTTTCTCCATTTCCATCTCCATATTATATGGTTGTCAAATATTGTTTGATTTGGCGAATTGTTAAACCAAATTTCCTTTGATTAATATGTATTTATCAGAAATTTAAAAAAATATGTGTATGTTACTGAATTTATCTTTTGTGCAGGTCATTAGCATTTGAGCTTGAGTTAGATCTGTAATGTTTCACTTTAACTTTGCTTCTGACTTGATCTGAGTACTAATCCCACGAAATTTGAAATATTTTTCAGGGCACTGGAGGAAAAAGTATATATGGTCGTACGTTTAAAGATGAGAATTTCAAATGTAAGTTGATCCTTCTCACATAACTTTGTGGCTGTTAAAACATACTTCTCAATAGAGCCCATGTAGGTTATATCCTTTTACTTCATGAGGAATTAAAAAGATGATGATGAGGACCATCTAGTTAAACGTCATATCTTTTTCATTCAATTTAAAAATTTTGTCTTCTAGTAGTGGATTTAATTTAAACAGCGATTATGGTTTGTGTGGGAATTATTGACTGGCACTTGAGGTCACCTGATATGGTCATTTCTTTTCTTCTATATCTATATAATCTGCACGTTTTCATTCTGAAGTGTATAATGTATTGCAGTGACACATACTGGACCAGGAATAGTTAGCATGGCAAATGCAGGCCCCAACACTAATGGAAGTCAATTTTTCATTTGCACTGTGAAGGTATATTGATTTATTTTCCAGTAAAAGGAAAAATTAAAAGTTAAAACTCTGCTGGTAATTTGTCAGTTAACAATCCATAAAATATATTCCAGAATGACCTTTTGAGAGGTTAGAGAAAGTGGCTGTGCTATCTTTAAACTGCATTTTGGAATAACTTTTTTATCCAAGAAGAATAGTGTTTGAATCCACTTGCCAAGTTATTATAGCTTGCTTGATAAAGTTTACGATCTACCTGCCTAATGAGAGTAGGATTAGTAAATATGTTTCTCACCCAAACTGTACCATTCTATTTTCTGGAGAAACAGATTTTCCTAGATAGGTAGTTCAGTGCTAATGTGAAAAGATATTCTTTTGATCTTTTCCCGTGGTCATCCTCCTTCCTGTGTTGGCCAAAATTAATATCTATTTGCTCTTCACGTTTTTTCTGAAAAATGCTGGTTTGACTGCTGTTATGAAATATGGTGTAGTTACATATCTTCTTGTGTTTAAATTACGAAAATCTCTGGGGGACTTTCTGCTAAAGAAATGCAAAGAGATATCACTAAAAGAATAGATTGTTGATTATTATGATATCAATTCCATGTGTACTTGTTTGTATATTTATAAAGCAAATTTTTGATGCTCATGGATTTTGGATTTCCGTCCAATTAACTAAAATTTTCTTGTACTTTCTTGATTTTGTTAATCATTGTGAAGTTGATACTTCAAAATTGATATATGTTTCATTGAATAATGATAATGAAAGCACCCTTATGACAGAGAACGTCATTAAGCTGGGTGGTTTGTGAAAGTTTCCACATTGTCCTTGGTGGATGACTTTAGCCAGTGAACAGTTTTGTTATGTAATGCATACATGAGATACTTGCTGTTTGACTAGATATATTGATATGTTTTTCATATTTTGGCACGTGACAGACACCATGGCTAGATCAGAGGCATGTTGTTTTTGGGCAAGTTTTGGAAGGCATGGATATTGTTAAGCTTATTGAGTCGCAAGAGACTGACAGAGGTGACCGTCCGAGTAAGAAAGTGGTCATTAGCGACTGTGGTGAGCTTCCGATGTCTGAAGTATGATGAGATCAATTCCAGTTTCTTTTGCTGCAGCTTTTAATTATTGGACTAGTCTATCCAGTTTAATGGGCCTCTATTGAATGAACCTGGAGCCATGTTTGAAAGTTCATTATGGTCCCTTGTATTCAGTAGATAAGCTTAAGTTACCGGGAGTTAAAAGTGATACTGGTAAGTTTTTACCAGCCAAATTGTTGAGGTGTATCAGTGGATATAATGGAGTTTCGTTTACTCAGTGAATCAGATTTTAATGTTTGATGTGAGTTTGAAAACAAATTCCTGCACTTCATCAATCTATGATGGCATTATTATGATTAGATTGGAATGATATCTTCTTCTGAATTCTGATGATGGATGACTCACTGGGCCTAAACTCTAATGATGGAAGCTTCTGCAATTGATGCTGTCAATCAAAATTCCAATTCCATAGCCTTCTAAAATTCCTGAACTCTTAACATGGTGTAATGATCAATCATTCATTATTAAATGATTTCATAGTTATGGCTTCTTTTTTTATAATATATTTTTCTATAACGACATAAACACTATTAATATAATATTAAAAGAAATGATGTCATAAATAAAAAGTTTTGGTTTGAGTTTTCACATCAATTACTCGCAGGATAATCATAAATTAGAATCCCCAATTGAAATAGAAAGTTCGGATACATGGTATTATTAGATAGGAAGTTCAAAAGTGGTCTTACTTTAGATTTATAGAAAGTGGAGTAATGGCCCTCAATGCTTGACCGCTATTGAGGGTGAAACTTGATTGAGTTAAAAATGGAGATATGCATCCACATTCAGCTTTATTTGGTGTATATCCTTTTAATTTATGTGATATTGATGTATATTTGGATAGGGTCTTTATCTTTTTTAATAATTGAAATATCTGATTTAGTTTATATACACTTCGGAAAAATTAACCCAATAAATTTTGATACCCCAATAAAGTGAGTATTTCATTTATAAGTTTAATAGTGTATTAATAATAGTTTAGTTAATAAAAATAATCCAAAAAGAAAAGACACAGAAGGTGTCCATAATCGTACGGCAGTTAAAGAAGATTCTCTGTGTGTGTTCCGATGTTTAATGTTATCAAATTTTAGAGTTAAGAGAATGACAAGACAGGTTAAAAACATCACGTGCCCCGAGGAGGATTCGATTCGATAGAATCCTAAGCACGTGACATTGTGGTGGACCATGTTACGTTACGTCAACATCCTATTCCTATCCCCCCAAGAAAAAATTAAACGGACTAACAACACCACCACCACCACCAGATAGTACACAACCCTGGTCCCCACCTGTACCTGGCGGCTTTCCTTTCCTCTTTTTGTGATCCCCATCTTGCCACGTGTTCTTTTATGTTAGCTGTCTTCACAACCTCTATAGAAACGACAACCAAACTCGAAAACGACGTTTCGTTTCTAGACGACGTGACGGGACCCCATTCAGATTCTGTCGGTGAAATCTATTTTACTTTTTTGGATTCATTTATATTATTGTCCTCATCATTACTATTAGAATTAATTGCTCCTTAATTAAATGATTAAGTGTATGATCTTTATACATAATGAATAGTGACTGTACCTAACTCAAAGCACTAGGCTCCACTTGAACAAAAATATCTTTGGATTTGGATAGAAACATGTCCAATTCTTTCACTAATTAATGAATCCAATCAACAAAGATTCAGCTTGAACAAGTCAATCTTGATGGCTCAATTATGTATTAGACAATAATATGGGATTGTGATTTCAGCCCACTTTATTAAAACTCATCATAATCACCTCATTAATCACGTTCTCAGGATCACTGAATCTTAGTTATCTAATTAACGTGAAGCAGAGAAAGAGGTTCAGTTCAAGTCCTGTCTGGAGAACCATTGTTGTCTGCTCTCTTCTGCTGAGCTAACATTAGATTATATAATAATAATATGCCAAAACCATATTGCTGATTTCAACTCAACAGATAGATTCCCAATTCAAGCACAGGCAAAACTGAAATACTCCAAAAAAAAAAGTATATAGAACTTTGCGTGACAATCTTGCATTCAAACATTTCCTTTATTTGGAGTGCGACATAAGCTTGAGAGGATTTTGATCCCAGTTCAAACAAGTTGATATATTCAGTCTAAAAAGGTCTGAAGCTTTGCGTGACATTCTTGTACACAAACTTTTCCTTTATTTAGATGCTGACAAAATGGTTGAGAGGATGTTAATCCCAATTCAGCAACCTCCAGCTGTATTGCATTACCTGTTTCTATGCCATGTGAGAACGCTTAAAGAGCTACAACTGACTGAGAATACGAAATGAAAATTCTACCAAGTAATAGAAGAGAGATGTATGTATTTACAATATCTTTCAAGACAAAAGAAAAGCAAATGCGAAATGTATTTACAGGAGCCTTTACAAAGTTGCAACAAGTTTGTGACCTGACTGAACCGAAGATTGTCAAGGGACTAACCTAAATGTTTTGCAATGTGGTTCTGAAGCACATTCTATGACTAAAGCAAACTAAACCAACATATACGGGCTCTGGCAACGTCTAGTTACCTAGTGAACTACTCCTGAACATGACTTTATCAAACCCAAGTTATAGAGGAACTTCTCTGACCTGCTTCTGAAGAGATTACCCAGAGAGAATCTTCCACTCTCCTGGGGTGGAGATTTTGAGTAAGCTTCATCCTTCACACGAAGTATAGTCTGGCCAATCTCTTGACGAACTGCTTCAATTGTTTCACTCTTCACGGGATTTCCTGATGTATCAATCACATAGAAAACATTCACAGCTTGGGAACCCCTGGTAGTAACCTCAGCTCGGGTGACTGAAAGACCGTTTTCTCTAAATATGCGAGTAACATCAGACAGAAGGCCAACTCTGTCTTCACAACAAAGTTCTAGACTTATACCCTGCATAACAAACAATGCAATGACATCAAACAGGGATTGGGCAGACAAGAAAGGGAAACTAAATTCTAAATTAAAATCTCCACATTGTCTGTACCTCAGAAGCTCGCCTCTTGATTGCAGCCTCCAAGCAATTTACTACCCTTTGTCTCTCTGCTTCAGAACTAATAGGGTTCCCATCCACATGTCTGATATAATATTCCTATCACACAAATAGTAAAGCCAATATTAACTTGAGATGCCCCAAATTGATACCTTTTGACATTCTCAATAACTTGGAACTTACTTAGGGAAACAAGGCAAAGTTTAAACTCAAACTAATTGGAAAAAGTCAATTAGAAATTGGAAAAGCAACTTGAGAGTTTTAAGGACAACCTGGTAAGCCTCTGGTCCTTCAGCTATAACGGTTGCATGGTATACCACATATTGCATATCTGTCAATGTGCACACTGAATCAAACAGTAGCTTAGGGCGGTCTGGGCACCTCAAGTTCACAACAGTATATCCCTTATCTGAAACATTTTCTACAGTTACAAGAGGTTTGCATCGCTCACTTGCTGAGCCAACTGTATCATTCATATCATAATCACGGTCAGCATACATCATTTGATGCAGCCTCCTTTCCTTATGAGTGGAACCCACAGAAACAGCAGTGTTGGCACTCCGCTTATCTCTATCTCCTTTGAGAACATATAAAAGAAGCTGTTTGATCTTAGCAAGTGTATCAGGATCGTCAATTGGCAATCCAGTAGCTTCACTAGTAATATAAACCACTGATGCCATTCTAGAATTATGGGTCCAGACTTCTGCAGCTACCACATTACATTTGAGGTCAGCAAGAACAGCAAAAACCTCTGAAAGCAACCCTGGTCGATCTCTTCCTGTCAGTTCAATGGTCGTGTGTTCTGGGGCAGCCTGAACACCCACAGACCTTCTCAAGGATCGGAAGCTTCGAGCCCTTGGTCCCAGTGACTGTAACACGTAAATTCAATCATTAACATCACATGGAAGACAAATGGATCCACAAATATTGTAGCTAAGACATCACACAGTAATTGAAACAGAAACTACTGTTTCTTCTCAGCCTGGTCCTTTAGTTATCTACTTCTTGATGCATCTGATCAAGGTCATTAATTTACAAGTCCTTCTTAGCTACAGCCTACTAGCAATTAAGTATGCAGTGACCGCTCTTAAGTACCGTATCTGTACCTATGTACAATTCAACCGCCATGTTTCTTTCCCCAGCATTTAAGCACCTCAACAAAGGCTTTATGAACGCTGTTTTCTGACCTCTTTATGACTTTCTCTCTCTTTTTTAGAAGGGAGTCTGTCACGGCTTTAGAACGATGTATAGCAATTTTTTTAGAATGAATGTGATCAAACCAATCTCTGTTCTAGGTTTAAATTGAGAACTAAAATAAGAAAGAAGAGTATAAAACTGTACAACTAATACGGGCAAAGATTGATTCCATAATGGTTGCGGAAAATAGTTAAAACCGATGGAATCTACTCTGAGGTGTCCTTTTGACATCATAAGTTTGTTCAAACAAATAAAAAACTCTAAAGTGTCTGTCAATAAACAATAAAATCAAAATTATATTCTCAATTCCACTCCAACTTGGATCTGTGTAATTATCTTTCAAAAAAATTGTTAGTTACAAGTAATCAAGGTTTCTGCAGATCTACCTGTTGAATTCTTTCGGCCACATCATCCTCAGAGAGCTTGTTCCCATGCTGATCTGTAACATGAAACACTGCAAAGAACAATGAAATTAATCCCAACTCATACAACAACAAAAAAAAAAAACAGAAATTTATAAGGCTAAGCCTTTGAGAATCAAAAGCTAACCATCCATGAACCACTCCCCATCTGAAGCAATGTAAGCTCGACGAATTATGAGATCCATATCATTCAAAACCTGAACAACCTCTAACAAACTTCCACGCTTATTTGCACTATCAACCTGAAAAAACATTAGAAAGAAAAAAACATCAAACAAAAATCGTCAAGAATTTGCTTGTAATATATAACCAGAGAATTCCATATAATTCAAGCAAGCACCTTTATCAAAGTAGTCTTCCTGCTTGAGGTGTTATCAACAGCGACTCTGCAAATCCCACATCACCAAGAAACAAAATCACGTATCTTTAAAGCCAAAACCTTTCAAGCGCCACCATTTCAGCTCAAGAAAAGGAAAATTTTTACGAAAAACAAACAAAAAGAAGCCAACTTTCATACAACAAAAAAAATGGAACCAAATTAACAAGAAAGAATAAAGAAGAAAAGATACCTTGGAGGGTTCATTCGAAGCACAAGCTTCTTAAACTCATCATCAACGCTAAGAGATGAAGTCCAGCAATCCATTTTTCAAAGAAGAAACTAAAGATTAAGAATTGAAGAAGCAAAAGTGAGGAAAGGTTATAGAAAAAACTAGAAATGGGGCTATCTGAGTTGTGTGTTTGTGAATTTAATTCTGGTTTTGTGGTGTTGTGTTGTGTGTTTGTTGGGTGGTGGTGGCTCTTGAGCTGGACGAAGAGTTTTGGAGGGACATAACATAACACACAACATAACCCAACATCTAACAGACAATAACAAAATACTTATAAATACATCGCAAATACTTGAAAAATAAATTAAAACAAAATCTAATATTAAAAATAAAAAGGAAGTAGTGGAGATGGCCCTATCATCTGGGTTTATCGCTGGCTTAAGTGGGTCCTACCCTTTTGCCTTCTCCTCTCCTGGTCCTCTTTCTTAGGTCTTTGTGATGTGCTGTTGGGTGCTCTTCACAAGGCGGCTGCCTCTACTCTATAGTCTATATGCTTCTTTCACTAACACGGAAGCTGTTAAAGCCACCCCCTTTTTTTTATAGGCAGGCTTTATTTATAACAGACAATATAATTCAACCCCTTCTTTGATTCTAATTAAAATTGAAGAAGTTTGAGAGGCATTGGCATTGGCAATGGCAATGTGGTGGCACAGAAAAGAGAGAAGATTAGCTTTTTTTTTTTTTTTTTTTTATCTGCAGGATTTGCTGTGCTTTAGGGAACCCCTTTGGCTTAAAGGGAAGTCCATCTAATTGTAATGGATATGATTCATGAATTGAAAATCTAGCTGGATTTGGTTGTGCTTTCGGGATATTGAAGGAAGCTATAGATCTCATTCATTTGCTTTCCATATCTAGTACGATTCTGCTAAGCTGTATACGATTTTTGACCATCTTTTTTTTAAATCTACAGATTTGATCTGTTTGGGTACTTGTGGAATACAATCACCTCACCCTCCTACATTATTATTATTATTATTCCTCTTTATTCAATTTAAATAAATCAAGAAATCCCGAGTTGAAAAAACGATGTACATCTTTATGAGAAGATTCCAACACTAAACAAATCCCCATAACCATAATATTATTATTGTCTTTAATTTATATCCTCGTCAATGCTTGTACACGCCTATCCTTCTCATTTCCAACTTTATTTGGTTAGAATAATAATTACACCCTCAATTTACACCTTTTTTATTATTATATGATTAATTTTTAGTTAATGCGGCCCTTTTTTTTTTTTAATATTTAATTTTAAATTAATATGATTAGTTGTTAATTAGTGTACAATCATCACTTTAAACAATTAAACTCGTGCCATTATCTCTTCCATCGAAAAGATAAGAAGATGATATATCCATTGCTGGGTTTTAGGAGATGGCTGTTACATTGACTTTAAAATTAGTATTTTGATTCAAAATTTATTGGATAATATCATTTGTAGATAGATTTTTATTGAAGATAAATTTTAAGATTTTAGAGTGAAGGAGAAGGAGAAGGAGAAGGAGAAGGAGGCATGTGGATGATCTGGTGGGTGTGAGTTGTACAGTAAAAAGGTTGGCAGGTGGGTTAGAGTTAGATGATCATAACCACCCATCAACATCACATCAAAGGTGGAGATGGGGAATTTAAGTATGTAAAAATGGGAAAAGTTTGACCAAATTTTAAACAATGAGAATGAAAACCCAGCCTCATTAAATGCCCACTTCCCATAACTACTTGTCCTCCACATCAGACCCACATGCACCCACTCAGACTTTGGCACCACCACCACCGCACATGACATTTCCCTTTTTCAAAATTAAAAAAAAAAAGGGGGACACAGAAAGTGTCCGTACCACGACCTAAAGGGAAGAACATGTGAAAGAGGGTGAAATTGCACATGGTGAAAGCATGGGATTGCCGAATTTTGTTTCTGTCCAACATTGTTGCTCCTTGTTTTATTTTTTACCATTTTTAAGTAACCCATTTCATGCTTATTTTTGGTAAAACTCCTATTTTTTTTTTTTATTTTACTTTTCACTATCATTTTTTTTATGTTTAAACTATCCTCACATCACATCTTCTTGCTAACTCAAATCCATTCCAACCTTTTCAATCCGCTCCGATCTATCGGCACATCCCATCAATATTTTGGATCTTCCGGTCTAATAAGATTTATTGAAAAAGTCAGCATCAAACATACTCTAATTATAAAGAAGCTCTATCTTTTTTTTTTTTTTTTTTTTTAAATGATTAAGTGTCCAATTAGTTTGCGTGTAACATAATTAATTCTTCGGAATCTTAGAACTATCAATCGGATAAGAGTTTTAGTGACCACCTTTATTAAATGAGAGACCGTGTTAGATCTCCTTCTTATTCTTTTACTATATCAGAGACTCAAACCTAAAAGATTATCTTAGATCATTCTTTGCTCTTATCAAATTACCCAATAAGCCGAACCGGACATATGGCAGTATATTAGTAGACCATCTTCCTTCTATTCTTATTAATTTCAATATCTTAAATAAAATAAATTAGTCTAACTCTGTCTAAGCTGACTTTCGTCAAACAGTTGGAATACATTGAAACCGCGTACAGTTGGAACACATTGAAACAGAGTGCAAAGGGACATGTGTATCTCAAGATTCAAGAAATCTTGATTGGTGTCTGCTTCCGTAATGAAATTGGATCGAACCCAATAATTCAATTCATGTTGATGTGGTCCAGACAGAACTAGAACTCACTCCTCCACTGGACCACTTTCTATACCAAATTGCCCACTTCTTGAAGATGGAATTTCCCCAACTTCCTCAAAATATGTTTATATTCTCACCTACAATTAATATGATGCCATCGTCCATATAGTTCAAGTATTTTTCAGTTTCTTTTCATTCCTTCAACATTATCAATCACATTCACAGCTTGCTGATACCCAGCCCAATGCATGTCACGCTTCCAATGTACTGTTGCCCATGCAATATGTGTTGCTTTTAGATGGTCTTGGCATTATACAGAATTTTGGGTCTGGGCCGNTTTATATTCTCACCTACAATTAATATGATGCCATCGTCCATATGGTTCAAGTATTTTTCAGTTTCTTTTCATTCCTTCAACATTATCAATCACATTCACAGCTTGCTGCTACCCAGCCCAATGCATGTCACGCATCCAATGTATTCATTTCAGTTGTCTTGTACTGTTGCCCATGCAATATGTGTTGCTTTTAGCTGGTCTTGGCATTTACAGAATTTTGGGTCTGGGCCGTATTGACAGGTTTAAAGATCAGACCCAGTTCATACTTATGAAATAGCTCAATCGGGTTCTCTATATAGTATATAGACACATTTGCTTTCTCTTATGGAGGGTTAGGCTAGAGTAATAAAATTCTTGAGGCAAATTCTTAGTTTGTGATTAAATGTAGTTAGATGGACTTCATGAGAAATTAAAGTTAATTGTTTTTAATGGGCAAAAGCCTAATGGAACAGTGCCGTGTGAAGGTAAAAGGCCCACAAAATCTTGAATTTCAAACCTGATGGATTTATGGAATAAGCAAGGACTATGTATCAATACTCGCAATAATACAAAGGATGCAAGCATGGTTGGAAATGATTAGACGTAAAGGGCCTCTTGGTGGCTTTTTAAGTCTGCAGTCAAATCACATTAGGATTAACTACTTGATCTTGAGTTTGATCTTGAGTTTGTGTTCGGACTAGTTTGTACGTATTTCAATTAATCCTCTAAAGTCTTAAAGTTGATAGTCAGATAAATCTCCTCAATAGTCATCCCTATTAGCAACCCAGATAGATCAAACTCAGGACCTCTTAAATAATACATTCAAGAAATCTAGTTGACCAGTGGGCCATCCAATGGTGGTTGATCTTGAGTTTTGCAAGCATTATTGGAAATGATTAGACGTAAAGGGCCTCTAGCTGGGTTTTTAAGTCTGCAGTCAAATCATATTAGGATTAACTACTTGATCTTGAGTTTGTGTCCGGACTAGTTTGCATGTATTTCAACTAATCCTCTAAAGCCTTAAAGTTGACAGTCAGATAAATCCCCTCAATAGTCATTCCTATTAGCAACCCAGATAGATCAAACTCATGACCTCTTAAATAATACATTCAAGAAATCTAGTTGACCAGTGGGCCATCCAATGGTGGTTGATCTTGAGTTTTGTTACTTCCCGAGCTTTTCAATGGGCTTTTTTCCAAGATGAAGCATTAGAAAACGGGAAAAATTTGAGGATAGCTATATACTGAAATATTTTAAAGATTTTGTATTGAAAGCACCCTGCCATTTATTTAACCAAGAGAGTAAACATTGACAGCGGAATCAAGTGATTCAGTTCACAAGGCAGGCAAGGATTTTAGTAAGAATAGGAGTGAAGTTTTTGAAGCAACAGTTGGCCCTATGTGAGCTAATCAAGGCCGAAAACAGGCGAAGAATGAGAGGAATTCAAGTTGTCAATTCCAACCTGGTGGTTAATTATAGACTTTTTGCTGAGAATGAATGCTTAATCTTAAAGGAATAAAGGAAAGATTACAAGTGAACCGACTGATTTATAGCCATTGATTAATCTGTAAGAAGCATTTCAAGCTGTCAAAGTTGATTTGGCAACACCCCCACCTTAGACAGACTTAATCTCAACAACAGATAAGTTCGAGAAAACCCACTTTAATTTTCACGATTTATCTTAAAACTGGATACAAATATGTCACTAGTGGCAACCACCAAAATAGTTAATGAATTTTCCTGCATGATGCATATACTAATACAAATTCTAAATTTAATAATATCAATGAGAAACAAAACAAATGAACTGGTGTACTGAGATTTTCTTCACGGAATCTGTCTTAATAGAAACAAATAAAATCTTTTGCAGGCTAAAAGAGATTCATCAAGTAATAAAAAAAAGTGTTCATCCCATGAATAAAAGAAGACAAAAACGTTAAAAAGCTGGAGATATCCAGGAGAGCATGCATATAATTGAAACACAGACAAATATTACATCGCAAACCTTATGTAAGTATTTTTTGAGCTGCTTTGATGGAAAACTATGCTTCAGAATCCATACTTGCTCGCCTGTAAACCCCGGCATGGATATAGAACTCCCAAGTTCACTTTCAGAAACAAATAAACACTCCATTCAAATATGCATATTGCTATGTATAACACAATTACAATCTCAAGAATCTGTAGCTAACAAACTCAAATCAAACCTTCAAGCCACTGTTCTCTTAATAATTCATCTCGCATATAACAAACTTTCTCTTAAGGAACTAGAGTAAGTTTTGATGTTATAACTCAGTTC